TAGGGGAAACACTGAATGTGTTTATTATTTCAAGTGAAAAATGTTTCACACACCAAAATATAAAAGGAAAACTGGACTCTAGAAAAAAGTCTTAATTTGTTGTATTTTCAGAACATTTTACAGACCAATAATAAGGACTAATACTGCTGAACTGTAACAAAAAGATATAAAACCCTGTACTAATTATTATGGAGGGGAAAAAAATCCTTTTTTATATTTCTAATTTGGTTCAGTTGTGTGAATAATTTGAAAAAAAAAAAGAAAGATGAAGATCCTGAAGCTACCTGATACAGCCTTTAAATATTCTTCTCCTTCAGGATGCAGGAAATACGACTGAATTATTCATCAGGCATTAATTAATGTCTGTACTGAGCACAAAGCAATAAAAAACATAACGACCTCACAGCCATGTCTGATTAGGAACAGAAAACTCTGTACTGAACAGTGAAGAGGGTGGACTGAGGAAACAGTCAAATATAAATGAGTGTATGTTTGTGCCTTCTAACCTCTGAGGTAGTGTAGTTAGCCTGAAGCTCTGCGTAATGGTTTCTGAGCCGCTCGGACTCCTCCTCCCTCTCACGGGTCATTTGGTCCATCAGCGTCTGAACCTGGACCAGCTCCTTCTGCAGAACCTCCACATCCTCCACTCCCGGTCGCTGTAGCTAGGAGGCAGAGCAAAGGCACAGAGTTAAACCAGAGGCACAAAAATAAATAAATAAATAAATAAATAAATAAATAAATAAATAAATAAACAAACAAACAAACAAACAAACTGCAGAAACTTGTGGGTGTTGTACCAGCTCAGTTTGGAGTCTCTCGTTGCCCTGCTTCTCCTTTTGCAGTTGTTCGACCAGATGGGCAAGCCTCTGATCAGCAGCCTCCCTCAGACTTTTCTCCTCATCATAACGAGACTTTATGTCTGACAAATTAGAAAAAAAAATCAGGTATAATTGAATCAACTCAACATAGAAGCCTGACTTTCCTGGAGAAACTGCAAGTGTTTTTTAACCCTCAAAAGTAAGGAAACTCATTTTTAAATTATCTGAATTTCTCAACAAAATATGTTGATTTGAGGTTTCTTTTGTCAAGAGGAAGACGAAACTTTACATATTTTTTTCCTGTGGCAACCAGTTTAAGGCATAATATAAACGACTGAAAGTAATAACCTGCCATTCTTTACAATTAACAGGATTTTGTTTTATATGGATAATCTGCACCCTTCAGTTTCTGAGGCAGTAAACAATTATTCTCTTGGGAAAATATCATAAACACTMTTGTAAATAGAGGAAAAGCAAACCATCGTTTGCCAATTCTATCATTGTATTGTCTTTTGTCTTCCAATCCCATGGAAGGTAGACAATCAGAGTTGTAAAGTAACTAAGTACAAATACTTTGTTACTGTACTTAAGTAGAAATGTTGGGTATCTGTACTTTACTTGAGTAATTATTTTTCAGCTTACTTTTTACTTCTACTCCTTACATTTTCACATAATTATCTGTACTTTCTACTCACTACATTTTTCTAAAAAGGCAAGAAGTAGAAAGACAGTATTTTTATTTCATTTTTGCCTGTATTCATTATGGTTTGTTATTAGCTAGACTAGTGCATCCTAATTTTTTAACATTAATGTTTTAATATGATTTTATAGTAATTTTGACCTTTAGAAAATGCTTTTAGGGGAGATCACCTGCCAATAAAGGTCATTTTGGAAAACCTAACCACTCATTTTTACTCAATACTTCTACTTTTAATACTTAAGTACATTTTATATCAGAAATTTACTTTTGATACTTAAGTACAAAAAAAATTCAATGCTTTTACTCAAGTAATATTTTTAGAGGAGACTAACTTTTACCAAAGTAATTTTATGATAAAATACTTGTACTTTTACTCAAGTAATACTTTGACATATTAAATAAATCACTGTAGACAATATTGGAATTTGTATGTGTGTGTAATATGTGTGGTTGTCAGTTTTTGTACCTATTTGTAAACATTCAGTTTAATAAAGTCTAAGTTATTTGTGTAAAACATTAAAACACAAACAGTTTATTTAAACTGTGTGGAATAATCACCAACTTGTCTCAGACTGGACAAAACACAATGGATGCATTGAGGCTAACAGTAGTCCAGTAAAAGAGTACTTGAAAGTGTTAAATGACTCACAGTCACGGGCCTCCCAGTTTCCCAGTCCCACACTGACCTACTATCTCTGTGGCCAGCTGTGCAGCCTTCTGCTCAAACAGGTCTTTCATCTGTTTAATGTTGAACTTCTCCGTCTCGGCTTCAACCAACTTCCTTTCCAGAACTGAGAAAATGCGACACGTTAGCTGCTGCTGATCTGTGCTCCAACGCAACTTGTTTATTAAACACAAAGCTTACTACCTGCATCCTCTGAGCTCATCTGTCCATCGTTCTGTGGAGAGAAGAAAACACATTTTCTGTTACACAGTTTTAAAATTCAGAAGTCTTTGACGTATTTCATGATATCTTGAAGGATTTACTGGCTTTAGATGTCCTTGAACTTTGTCTAATTCCTTCTTTAGTTCTCCGGAGAACCATCTTTCCTCCTGATGGAGAAGAAAAGCATGCAGTCATGTTTTTGCATGAACAATCACACACAACTCCATGACACACACAGCTCAGATATACCTTAAGAGAAGCATGCAAGTCCTGAACCTCCTGCCGCAGCATTGTAAGGTCTTCACTAAAGAGGGGTAAAAAACAGACTGTTAGAATAATAATACAAAAAGCACAAAGAGGACAGTTCCTTAGTATCTAAGATGTCACCATTAGCCTCACCGAGTGGGGGCCACATGAGCAGGGAGGTCTCCCGTGTCGTGGAACAGCTCATAGTGTTTACAAAGCTCCTCTGCAGAGTTGAGAGACTTCATGCACTGAGGACAGATGAAGCCCTGCACACAGGAACACGTTATCAGAGGGCTAAACGTCACAGCAACAGCCTTAAATCTGTTAGTCAGACAACAGGAAGTTACCTCTGATGTCTGATCAGGTGTCTGATCATGGTTGAGGTCGGTGCTGCTGGGAGGCTCGGATTCTGCGTTCTGAGAACCTCCCTTGCCAGGAGTCTGCAGGAGAGCAACACCAAATAGCATGACTTAACTGAAAAAAAGCTACAGAAATTGCTTTTTTTTATTACAGGGTGACTCAGAGATGAACGGCTACTGAAATCTGTTAAAAGTTAAAACAAACAGAACAGAGGCTAAAAATACAGGAATAACAAAATGTCAAATGCCCAAAATAAAAAACAGGATTGAGAAACTTTGTCAAACTCCGCCCACATCCGAGCTTAGTTCTACCATAAACACCATGAGAGGTGCCAACAACCATGAGGCCACAGCTCAGGGCATCTGCCTCGACATGGAGAAGCAGAACATGGCCCGCTGAGGCTCAAACTGTCCCCCTGCCTTCACCGGGATGTGGTTGCAGCTTTGTTAGTATGGAAGCGATTGTGTTCCATAATCCTAATTAAAATGGATTAATAGAAATGCTGTTTCATTTTCAACATGTACCTGATTTTTTTGACTCATAAGTAAAATTATAAATACATAATCCAAACTGTATGTTCATTTTCTTCTCCAAGACTGCTCAAAGTGTAAATTAATTAAAATGTTAAATGATGGGTATTTTTCTAAAATACATACAAAAACACAGGGGAGCAAATGAGACAATCAAACCATGGTTTAGAATAAATGTGAGAACGCTGGACAGGAAGCCTCTCGTACATCCAAATCCACCGTTCTGAGGGACTCCCTGTAGTTCAACCTCTTTTATTT